GGGGGGGGGGGGGGGGGGGGGGGGGGGGGGATAAAAATAAAATCAAATATAAATGATATCGACAAAGAAATAATTAAATTCTGGATCAATGGAGTTAATGTATAGAACTTTTGTGACGATAAGAAAAGCTGAATGGGACAAACTTCAACGAGCAATTTATTCCAAGAGCTTAAATGCTTAATGGGTCAATTAAAATCAGTTCGTTATATTAAAATTTAGCGTCTTTTAAATCTTGCAACTGAGACAGCGTTGCCAGGATTTTAGTATTCAAGTATTCTTGCGAAATGAAGATTTTTATCTTTATGGATGAATTTTCTCAGTCCAATCTTTATGTTCATCTGTGATTTTTCGTATATTTAAGTAGAAAAATAGACGTATATATAGTTATGTATCACTAGTGATATCCTAGGGGACAATTTCACATTGCCGATAATCACCATTTATTGAAAGTATTTCAAAAAAATTATTAACTCGCTTAAGCCATGAAGTGTAAGAAAAATCTCACGTCATTTAGTGAAAATATTATTCGTTAAAATTGTTGTGATAGGTTTTTTTTGTTTTTTTTTTTCTCGTTTTCTTTCTTTCTTTTTTTTCCCCTTTTTTTTCTTTTTTCTTTTTTTTTTTTTTTTATAAAACGTACATACGAGACACTTTTTCGTCGAACGAAACGGGTTCTAAATTCGAATAGAAGACTATATGAATTATCAGAAAAATATCGTTATATTAAAAAGTAGAAAATATGTGTTTAAAAGTGTTCCCAAGCTCAAGCATTGAGAGTTAAGTGACAATTTTAATTTCGAATTACCACACAAGAATGCCAAAAATTTCTCGACCATTCCACGAGAGGATCGACCCTTTATGTCGACTCGTGAAGCAAACTTCACCTATAAAATATCATTAAATTTATAAATTCATATAAAGCTTAATTTCACTTTGGCAATTTATTTGCAGAAGAGGACGAAGACGCGACTACTCCATCACCACCAAGACTATTTTACGACGTTGAAGTCAGACTGGTAAATCTTGGCGATGGCTATAAAGCTCCATTGCCAGGATCTCTCGACTTCCAAGACATCTCCAATACAATCTCTGGAAGTTTCTCGCCGACTCTCGAAAAAGTTCCCGGATTCCACCAACTCAATCTGAGCGAACTCCGAAAGTACGTAGACTCTCATAATTCCCGGAGACAAAGTAATTTTACTCGTGTCAGGTTTCAATTTACTCACGCAATAACAATTATGGCAGGAACGGTAATGATGGCATTATTGCGAAACTCAAGTTGGCAATGGATAAGAACGAGATAAAAGGACGTGCTTTGAGGCCTGCGGATACAGCGGCTATGGCCGAGGCTGCGCTAGTTGAAGCCCTCGGAACTGGAAAAGTTGGAGCTCTTAGCGTGGATCCGCATTATCTCGTCGTTCACTCCCATCAACGTATGTTTTTATTACTGTTTCCACCTCCCACCAAAATCCAACCCTCATGATTGCTTTTTCTTTTTTGTTTGTTTGTTCGTTTGTTTTTGTGACTACAGACGGACGAATGTCCTGCATGAAAAATTATCGCGATTATCTGCCCCTTAAAATCTTTTTTTGACCAACATTTATATGAAAGATCGTCCATTGTTCATCCAGTTTCATACAGATGAAACAATTAATCTTAATAAAGAAATTATCATCAATATCCTACTTAAATAGAAATATAAAAATAATGTCATTGGGCAGTTGATGCGAGTTAATTTGAATTTTGTTAAGATTTCGCCGAAACTACATAAAATTTCTTGTCCCTTGCATTTGGTAACGATATTTATTTATATCTCAAGTCACCATCAAGTGCTACCAATAGCACATAGAATTAATTAGTTAAATTTAATAATAAAATAACTGCAGTAATAATTCGTCTGCTTATTAATCAATTTAACCATGTCGTCATTGAAAATTAAACAACCGCATTAACATCCATCCAATTTGTGCCAAATGATCTTAAAAGAATATTCTGCGAATAATACAATATCTTAGCTTTTCGCTTAAAGTAATATTTTGAATCACCTTTTTAATAACCATTGGAAAGCTCTTCTGCTTTTGTTATTTTATCACAATCCATGAAAACGAGAAGCGCCAAAGTCGACAGAAGTACGATGAGAGTGTGCAACCGAAGGCGCAATTATTTACTCGATGAAATCTTTTTCTTACAGTGAACGACTTTGAGGAGAACGACCTTGATAAGCAAGGGAGCGAAAATTCGCTAATGGCAGGACTTTTATTAGGCCCAACAAAACTCTACATTGTTATCGCGTGTCTTGCTGCACTGCTGGCGCTCGCATTACTCCAGGCTAGCTGCACCCTCTACAAGGCCTCGAAAAAACGAACGACAAAGGTACGAAATAACAATTACCAAATCTTCATCGGCTATTTAAGTATCTTTCGCTTCAATATTTGCGCTTCGCCTTAGGAGGAGAAAAAAATTGAAACTTGTAAAGGACAATGTCATCACTGGCGACATTTAACTAACAATGCAGCAGTCGGTACAATCTAATTGCCCGAAAGTCTCGTTTTTTTCTCAAATTGAAAATTCTTCTCAATGCATAGTCGCGTATACACAATGGCACTATATTATGTATAGTTTAACCTCATTCTCCAACCTCATTCATCATTTCCCCCTTTTTTTACTGTGTACGTGTGTTACTGCGTTGCCTACATAACTTTCTGAATCGCGTGACCAACGATTCACGCGATCACTGCAGGATAGTGCCTTCTTCTTCTACTTCATCGACCTCATCTACTTCATCTACTTCATCTACTTCATCTACTTCATCCACTTCATCTACTTCATCTGCTTCATCTACTTCTTCTTCTTCTTCTTCTTCTTCTTCTTCTTCTTCTTCTTCTTCTTCTTCTTCTTCTTCTTCTTCTTCTTCTTCTTCTTCTTCTTCTTCTTCTTCTTCTTCTTCTTCTTCTTCTTCTTCTTCTTCTTCTTCTTCTTCTTCTTCTTCTTCTTCTTCTTCTTCTTCTTCTTCTTCTTCTTCTTCTTCTTCTTCTTCTTCTTCTTCTTCTTCTTCTTCTTCTTCTTCTTCTTCTTCTTCTTCTTCTTCTTCTTCTTCTTCTTCTTCTTCTTCTTCTTCTTCTTCTTCTTCTTCTTCTTCTTCTTCTTCTTCTTCTTCTTCTTCTTCTTCTTCTTCTTCTTCTTCTTCTTCTTCTTCTTCTTCTTCTTCTTCTTCTTCTTCTTCTTCTTCTTCTTCTTCTTCTTCTTCTTCTTCTTCTTCTTCTTCTTCTTCTTCTTCTTCTTCTTCTTCTTCTTCTTCTTCTTCTTCTTCTTCTTCTTCTTCTTCTTCTTCTTCTTCTTCTTCTTCTTCTTCTTCTTCTTCTTCTTCTTCTTCTTCTTCTTCTTCTTCGCATACCAATCCACCACCCCCTACCCCATACCCCTATTCCCTGCCCTTCACCCCTACCTCCACCATTCTCAAAATCACACCCGGACGACACTGACTGAATGACTTCCCCCCACGATTTACCAGCCCTCCTCTGTGCTCATTCACGATGAGGAGGGGACGAATGATCGGCTGGCCAAAGATAGGCTGCTGTTGTGCAAAGGGCGAGTTGGCTGAGGGGACGGGTGAGCGGGCTCGTTAAAAAACAAACTGATAAATGAATGGGAAAGAACAGATATGAAAGAAGAAAGACGGAAAAGAACCTTGTGCTTTGCTTGTGTTGCATGTCACGCGCGCACACCTTTGCGATCGGCAACCGCGCTCACGCACATATAGAGGGTGTACTCGCTGCCTCTGGTCACTTCTCTAGCAGCGACGTCGGCCGCCAATCCCATCCATCGCTCGAACCATGCGAGCAGCGCGCGCTATCAGCGTCAAAATGATCACCACCAGCATCACGATCTCCGGCAATACCATCACCAGCAGCAGTTGCATGTCCCGCCAAACATGCATCGGTCCTCGCAAAATTGGTAGAGCCGATCTGCAGGGGCCATTTAAAGCGCGAGCGCGTCAATCTTATCCGCTTTCTCGTCCAGGTATCGCTTTAGCCTCTGCTCTATCTCTATAATCTATATCTGTCTCACTCATTCACTCTCTAACCATCTATCTATCTATCCATCTATCTAGCTACAAATATTTTAACTCACTACTTCAAATTCTCTTATATCGTATGTACGATATTCGATATATTTGATTTATTCGATCGCTCCTATAAATCTTTACTTTCCAAAGCGCATACGACATTTATTCGCATGACATATTTACCTTGGCATCTTCATCGATCATTGATTATGAGCTCACTTACCCCAAGCTTCGGCGATTGCTTTTATTATTTCAATAATTGCGAATACAAATCTAACTATGCACATTGAATGCTAATTTGGGTCAATCAAAATGTATACAAAGCGTAAATTAACAACGGATGGAACGCTTTTGTTGCGCCAGAGGAAAATTTTATGACCTCGTGTGCAAAGAATGGTAAATCAAAAAAAGAAAGAAAAAGAAAAAAAAAAAAGAAAAAGAAAAAAAAAGAAAAGAAAAAAAAAGAAAAAAACACACACACACACACACACACACACACACACAATGAACAACTTGGAGAAGAATTTTCATGCAAATGCAATAATTTTGAAGAGTGTATGGAATAATAAGATCATCTCGTTATATATAATCGTGCGATCATTCTTTCGGCTGTAGGATCGCTTAATCGCCAAGAACGCCTGGAGAGACTATTCATCCAGTGCGAACACTAACTTTGCCTTCGAGGCCTTTGAGACCGAGGAGAAATCACCTCCGCCCCCAGTTTCCAGTCTCTCGAGACCACGAGAAATGATGATGAGTAATGGGCATTCCGCGGACAATCACAATCATCAGTCTCCTCATCATAATCTGCATCAGCAACAGCAACAGCAACAGCAACAGCAACAGCAGCAACAGCAACAGCAGCAGCAGCAGCAGCAGCAGCAGCAGCAGCAGCAGCAGCAGCAGCAGCAGCAGCAGCAGCAGCAGCAGCAGCAGCAGCAGCAGCAGCAGCAGCAGCAGCAGCAGCAGCAGCAGCAACAGCATCATCATAATCATCATCATCAACAGCAACAGCAGCAGAATCAGCAGCAACAGCAACAGCATCAGCAGCCGCAACAGCATCAACATCAGCAGCAGCATAATCATCATCAAAATCAGCGTAATAGTGTGAGTGCGATGGTACCCGGGCCCAGGGCTACTTACAGTTTGCCACGAGCACCCGGGCCAAGGCAATCCTCCGGCATCTCTCCGAATTCGGGCCCGACGCAAGGATACTACACCCAGGACCGGCGGAATATACCGAGATACAGCAATAAAGGGTCCGGCGGCCATCACACTGGGACTCTACAGCCCCAACCGGACTTCTACTTCATGCCAAGTCAACGAAAGTACAGCGGTGAAGTCGTGCGCGTATACGTCGATTACGGAAATCAGAAATCTAAATAAAAACTGTCTTTTTGTATTGTTTTGTTTTGATTTTTTTTTTGTTTTTTTTTTGTTTTTTTTTTTGTTTTTTTTTTTTTTGTTTTCACGCGACGATGAATACATGTGCTCTCGATATTCGACTCGAATTATAAAAAGGTAATTGCGCGACTATATGCCGAGGAGAGATTCATATGGATCATTTAATTTGTATTGTTATAAAACGTAAAGCAGTTTTGAGATTCGCGTAATATATTCGGAATGGAACGGAAGGCGCGTAATTTGCTTCAATTCTCTTCACTCGCCGTAAATTCTTAAGTCATTATATATTCTTATTTAAAATTACAATTCTCTTTCAAACTCTTGCTTAATCGAATTTTGCAGTAATATTGTATATACAATACTTATTATGATTGAAAGTACGTAACGTTGATTTATATCTTTATTAATATGATTGTTAAGCGAATCGTGGTATCATTATTATATTCGTAAAAGAGCTATCTTTCACGACTCATTGTAAAAATGCAGAATCGAACTCGGTAATTTTATTTCTCGCTTATATTGTTAAAAAATTTAGACTCGAAGTTGAAGAAGAAAAACAAAGAAAAGAAAAATAAAAACAACCCACCCCGTCCCATCCCAACCCCCCGATCGCCCCATCCCCGCCACCATTTGTAAATAAGAAACGCTCAACGAATGCCAGTCACTTGCATGTGGATTAATTTTATATTATATAAATAACGACTAACTCTATTATTATAAACAGCTTTTTATTTAAAGAAAGTATCAATATTAATCAAAAAGCTCTGCAGTACGTGACAAGCATAACAAAGATAGAGCACGCGTGTACATTTGCTCGAGATTAATGAAGTGTAATGTAGAATGTTAAATCTAGCGTAAGTAAAATATTATTTATAAGCTATCATAATGTAAAAGAGATACAACAATTTATATAATATTTAAATTGTCAATCTTAATGGGTCGTTAAATTTCTTGATTGATGATTAAAATTGATATTTTCCTCTTCCAGTAATAGGCATAAGAAGCAGATATGTACGTGGATGAGAAATAAAACGTTTGTACATTTTTTAACCCAGTAAAATCTTTTCTTTACTTCCAATTCTTTATTTTCCAATTATCATTGTCCATCGTCCCATTTAGCGTTATCAGTGACAGGACTTTTCTCCACACCAAAGATTAAGGAATTTCAACAAAAATGATTTCTTACATTATCGTCATTACATCGAGTCGATCGTTAAACTGACCGTTAAATAAGTCTTGAAATCAATTTTGAAAATCAGTTTCGAAACATTGGCAATCCAATAAGGCATTTTTCATAATCACGTCGCTGCCTCGAATGAAAGTACTCTGAAAAGTACAATACAATAAAATCTATTTTCAGCAATTTAAATAGACAACAAGGCAGGGTACTCGCTTACTAATGTAGATATCTAATTTAAGATTTAATCATCGATCGTAAGATATTTCGAGCGATGGTTAAAGCGCTGGAATATAAACTCGACTTTATCAACAATACTGCGCAAATAAACAAAGTAGCTTTCATAACTTAAATCACTCTATACACTTTCTCTTCAATTACAGTCTCAATGGTATTTCAAAAAAATTGATATCTATTCGATACTTTATATACTATTTTTTTTTGCCGAGAGTTGATATTATTCCATAAGCGAATGTATGCCGAACAACATACTTTGTACTTTAGAGGTAGAGATATTGCATTCCAGTGAAGAAATTAAACTTGGCGTACATATACTAAATAAGAATTATTATCGAATGTGGCAGATTTAAGTGCAGATGAATGTCAAACGACACTACTTTTTAATAACAAATACCGACATCATGGAACAATCACGAATATCGTTATGATTTTTCTCACAAAAAAAAATTAAATTTATACATTTCTTGAACATTGAATTGTAATATAATTTAAATATATTAATTTGTCGTAATAGAGGATTAATATTGTTAAATGGTCGTGAATTCAAATTTGAATTAATTGAACGCCCGTAGAATTTAACTTCAAAGCTAATTAAACGTAACACTCATGTTATTATATTACGAGATATGAGTTATTAAAAGATATTTTAAATAAGAAAAAATCTGTTTTCATAATTTTCCTTTCTTAGATATCGAATAAAACGAACTTTGTCACACCGTGTCCTTCCCTCGCTTCTACCTCCATCTCACAGCATAAATATAAAATTAAAATTATATATATATATATAGGTACATAACTATATACTTTTGTAAAGAGAAATTTAATGTAAGTACATGTGTAATACACCGTAATTTAATTTTAAAAAAGTTTTTCTTTTCTTTATATATAAATTGTTTAGATTCGATGTGATTATCATTGGAGCAATGATTTATTAATTATATCTCTTTGCGAGATTTGGCTTTAATACGATTATTGCTCGCACTATCGAATGTCAAAGTTAAGGAACGATCAATCGTTAGAACAAGTTTAAACGAAATCTCATTCATTACAAAATACCGGAGCGATAAATTTTATAAAATACCAAGTAGCTAAAAGTCATGCACCTCATAAAATTATTGGTATGGACAAAAGGATTACATTAGAAAAATATCGTTTTGTAATTTACGTTTGTTATATATATATTCTATATTTTTATACCTTTTGTTACAAATAAGCACCGACAAACATCGGCTCTTAACATTTAATCACGCCGGTATCTAGTAGTTTTTCTCTTAAAATCAATATATCCTCGCGGGTGTGTAGCCATACTGCCAGCAGTAAACTGTCATCGAGGCAAACTCGTGCGTTGACTACGGTGCATTAGATGACAATCTGCACTCACAGTGCAATGTTACAAATGAATAAAGAAAAAACATACTTAATGTGTCAATATTATTTATTCTTAGTTCAATCACCTTCGAAGGCATGTAAGGGTATTCAAACATTCTCGAGTATCATCAGGAGATCGTTGGAAAGGGTTCGTACGGTAATTAGAATAATAATCTCACACACACACACACACACACACACACACACGTGTGTGTGTGTGTGTATATTCATAACTTCGTTATTATTATTGTTATTAATATTATCGTTATCGTTATTATTTTCTTCGTCAATTGACTAATTTCTCAGTAAAACAGCTATAAAGGACGATTTTTCTTCTTAGCTTGCGAGATTATTAAAAATTTAACTAACTTTATAATTTAACTTAAATACAATAACTGTTATAAGACATTTTCAGCTTCCTTAAATAAATTCTCTCTCTCTCTCTCTCTCTCTCTCTCTCTCTCTCTTTCTCTCTCGACGATGGAAGTGGCAAATCGCGTGATTAATTACTATCTCCCGAGAAATCGAAGAACCAACCCCATTAATATATAGTCACACGATCGTGCACGAAGATAATCCGTGCACTACGTACTACATTAGCGTGAAATCGATCTTACCGATTAGCCTTAACAAGACAGCACATTGGTATAACAATTATAATTGTAGACATAATACTCAAAATTCATCGGAACGACAGGCTGCGGAATTAATAATATATATATTATTATAATAATCGCAATGGTAATAAATGACAATATCGTGTTAAAGAAGACAACAGCGACGCGCGTAATTAGACTCGCTAATGCTTGGTATAATATTACGTAAGTAACGTTAGGCGTACGACGCCGTACAGTGAGTAAAGCTTGAAAAAAAAAAAAAACACTTTATTCCGTATAACTTAAAGAATAAGATGAAACTCAGGTTACATCCGTCCGTAACGTTTTTATTTTTGTTTGCTTTTGTTTTACAATAAAATCTCGAGAAATGCAGAATAAAAGAAGAAAATTTCCATTATGTTCTTATGATTGATAGTTAATAAATCTCTCCTCTTGTCATATATAATCTTTTAGTTTAGTATATATTAATGAATTGTGCAACGACTTCTTCTTCTTTTATTCCCATTGCCGCTCTCTTTCGTAGAATCCAGTGATCCATTTCGTCTTACTCCCTGGCTCAGATATTCCCAGTTTAATCATATTAGCGTCGCTGCCATCGAATTTTCAACAATAAATCTGATTTCGGATCACCAATTAACCAAGCATATCTATTCGCGTGTATCTAATAATCTGTTAATATCGTTGGCTGTTTGGTTGTTATCGTTTGCAACAAGGAGAGCGGATCCGTGGGCAGTCGTCACACGCATAAGTTTAATCGAAGAAAAAATTATGTATTTGTGGGTATGTGTTCTGATGTAGGGCGACACGACTCGGAGCCGCGAGAAAGGAGGAAAAGTCCTCCTCAAATTGAAGCTAACGGACGAATTGGCGGTGTTGACGACGCGCCAAAGAGAGTTCATCGAGCGCCGACTGTTGTGTGTGTGTGTATGGCCCTCTTGAGAAAAATATTCTCGTTCCGTAGTTTCGTCCCTCATCCTTGTGCCGCTACCTGAACCCTAAAGATTTATTTCCTCTGTCTTACGTCAGAGTCCTTGTTTGATGCAGGTTTACTGTTGAATTCAAGAAAGCAGAAAAATCCAGAATTATTAAATGATCAATTTATTTTCAATGGTTATAGTTTTCATGTTTTTCCCCTATTTATTTATTTATTTATTGTTTTTTTTTTTGGGTTTTTTTGTTTTTTGTTTTTAAAATTTAATTCGAGAGGTTATTTCGAGGGGAATAAAAATTTTTTTTTTTTTTTTTTTTTTTTTTTTTTTTTTGTAAACTTTCAGTAAGCCATTAATTGAAATGATTAAAAGTAGGTTTTTTTTCTCTTTTATAAAATTTAATAAATGTTACCGCAATTTATTCTTCATTTCTTCATTTTTTTCATTCAATATTATAAGCTCTCTGTTTATTCCTTTCATACTGATATTTGTTGTATGATGTTGACATTAAATTAATAATATTATTATTAGTTCAAATAAATATATTACTTATTATTCAAGCGAAGCTCTACTCATTTAATTATATGCTAAAGTTAATAAAAAAAAATCGTTAAATGAACATTACGAAAATACTGGTGGTTGTTTTTTTTTTTATGTAACATTAAGTAATTAAAACTTTATTATCGCTTGTTAAAATACATTTGTTTCAATTAAGCGATAGAGTTTTTGAATTATCCAACTCTATATGGTAAATTTTATTTGAAAAAAAAAACAGAAAAAAAGACTATTAGTAACAATCATGACTAATTGTAACAAGTATATAACAGTAACAAGTACAGTCAATACTGACGAACAAATGATTTACATACTTTTAAATTATATATATATATATATAAAATAATGAATACTGTGTAATTGTAATAATTAATTTTTATAATAAAAACAATTGCATAAATCATTTACGAGAATGAAATTAACGATTGATATTAATACGAAATTATTGAGCTACTTAAAATGTATACAAATTATTTAAAATAATGTGATCGATATAAATTTGCGTAGAAAAATTAATTTTTTCAATGATATTATGATAGCAATTATTTGCAATTAATATAGTCATAATCGTATCATTTAGCAATTGCCAAATAATAAACGTACAACTAATGAAAGTCTATAATATTCTTAGATATATACGATTCTTTTACTTAGTTATTGCAAATACTATATGTGAAAGCTTGACGAAATTGAAACAGGATCGCATTCTAATTAAGAGACTCCTGAGATTCATTGGAAAGGTCGATCTTGTGTCTATCACTCGGTCGGAATGTGAAACTGGTCATTGGAGAGGAGGAGGAATAGGAATTTCTTGTGGTATTTAGGGGTAAATCACCGTCAACAAAACTAAGATGAAGAATAATTCAGTTAAAGTTCCATACCAGTTATTTCTCAAAGTAGGAAAACATAAAAAAAAAAAAAAAAAAAAAAAAAAAGAAAAAGAAATAGAAAAAGAAAAAGAAAAAGAAAAAAATAAAATTATTATTAATCTTATTCGAAATAAGAAGCATATGTCCAAATTTTCGTCTTACTGTTTTATAAAAATAATTTTCATAAATTTATCGGTCATTACATTCTAAAATATTGCCCAAAGTTTATTTGAATAATGTGGGCTCTTCGTAACTGTCAATTATATTAAATAATTAGCCGATAATCTATTTCAAATGAATGCAAAAGGTAAATATGGATAAATGCCACATTTCGTAAATCATAATTAATTCGAACACGTGTTCGTAAACTCACGATCATTGGAACAATAATTATATGTAGGCAATGAAATTGTAAACATACGTATCGGGGCTCTGATCGGTGTCGGATTCCTCGAGCTCCGATTTGTTGCGTTTCTTCTCATATACCAAGATGATAATGCATAGAACGATGACTTCGGCGCAAATGCCAAGGAAGGGCCAGAGGGCAGCGAGCTTGTCCTTGACCCTTAAGAGGGTATTGGCGATGTCGTAGTGTTGATCGTTGCCGTCGGCACTATTGTAAAAGCCTATACACGTAACATTGCCCCTGTCGTCCATTCGGATGTTCTCGAGATTAAGTACTGCGTTGTTTAAACCCTTTTCCTCGTCCATGGATAATTTAACACGGCCCTCCGACTTCGTATAATTTTTTCCTTTGAAATTCCAGACGATTTTGAGACCAGGATCACCGGTTTTCACGGCGCAGGTCAGATGTAACTTCTCCCCTTCGACGACATTTGTCGATTCGGGCAATATTAACGAAGGCTTTTCTGCGAAAGATATTCATTTATTCTTACATTGTTTACTGGGATTAAATACAAAAATATTATTTTCTTACTAATCACGAGGGTAGCAGAGAGCAGAGTTAAAGGGGATCTTTTCAATTAAAGCCTTAACAATGTTTCTTAAATTGAAAATAAAAAAATAAAAAGATAAAAGAAAAAAAAAATAAAAAAAAAAAAAAAAAAAAAAGAAGAAAAAAAGAAGAAAAAAAGAAAACAAATAACGACGCAGATATTGTTAAAATTTATTAAAAATATTTGAATATGTATGTTCAAGTAGTGTATAAATACTTGAAAGATTGAAAAGCCTTGGCGCAGAAATTATAAATTTTCATTAGTAATAGAGTGCATAATTTTATAGATCATAGAATCCACAAGAACCGTTTAAATGTATTTGTAGAATTGGCGAATGCCATATATGGTAAAAATAAAAAAAGTAAAAATATTCATAATCATTTAGAGATTGAAAGAAATTTTAAAGCAAGGACATTATTAAGGATAAATATTACTCTCTCTCTCTCTCTCTCTCTCTCTCTCTCTCTATATATATATATATATATATATATATTATATATATATCAATTATGCTGTAGATCTCTTTCATAATATATCATACAATAGAATTTAAATTGGGTCAATACAATAATTTGTTTCTCTGTTATCACAAATCCCAATTTAAAAAAATCACAATAATCTAATTTAAAAAGAAAACACCTTAAAGCTCTTGATTATTATAATTTCCTGCGCTTCTGTTCTTCTCTTCTCGCTTTACGTCCTGTTAGCCAACATCTTACAAAATGTTTCGTTTTATTAAATTTGATAATTTTCGTAAAATAATATTGAATTTTGGAATTACACATTAAAATGTTAAAAAAAAAAACATAATCAATTCTTTGGAGCTTTCCGTCGGGCGATCTTCAATGTATTCAATCTTCATCAATCTTCAACTTCAATTCATAAAATCATTTTATCAAACCCTGATAAAGAGAATGCAAATATGAAATAATGTATTATATAATTTTATTTAGGCAAAACAATTTGAAATAGATATCCTCAAAATGTAATGAACGGAAAAGAAATTGAATATTTATGAACTTACAACGGTATATCTAAACTAAAAATACGCCTTTAATAAGAATTTGGACGTTGTAAAGAGTTTCAATTGGAATAAAAATTTTGTATAACACTCCAAGAAAATGACTAAAAGGGATAAAATTTCGTCGATATATAATGTTGATGAAAAGCACTCTTGTTAAATTGAATTGATTATAAATACAGAAAAATTTTAAAAGTTTAATCCAAGTCTAAGTATGTAGAAAGTACGCTTGCGCCAAGCAGCTCGATACAATATTCTGACGAGTTCATTTTACAATTTAATATTAACGAATTGTTGCTAAGCAAATAATTTAATTACTTTAATACGTCAAATTGCAGTACTTACTGACGACTCTGTAGTCAGATGAAATGTTGCCAACCTTGCAGGAATAATTGCCGTAAATATCTTTGTCATCGACATTGTAAATAACAATGACGTTACTACCATCTTTATCATCTAGTCTTATATGTTCCGATTCCACAAGCGGCTTCTTATCCTTGGACCACTCAAATTTTTCACTACTACTACGATCCGGGCAATTAAGAACCACACGGGAATCATTTTTTGTAAGCACCTTGATTGTTACGTCTGTTAAAAATAAATGTTCCTAGTTAGTTTGTACTCGAGGATTTGCTTGGAATGGCACGGGCCTTTTTATACTAATTGAAGGATACGGTAATGGAGCACTGCGATGAAATCATATTCTAGCTAAAGCAGCAAAATTAAAAACTTGATGACATTCACAACAAAAACACATATATGTAATATTTACATGGCTACATTTACAAATGCGAACAAGACTGTATTGTGGTGTGTATGATTTAAAATTCGTTTTATTAGATTAAAATTAAAGCTCAAATAATGTGTGTGACAATCGTATCGTATAAATTTACTCAAATGTAGAATAAAATCTAGCGTACTACGATATTTTATTAACTTATGGCTCGTCAAAGTGCAAATCTAATGACTAAATATTTCACAAAGTAATACGTAACTTGTTCGAGTCGCATAATACCTTTTAAACTCCGTCAGAAGTTATGTAAGAAATCGTGTGCACAATCTAGGGATTTTCTTATTTTGACTACTGCGATTCACCATAAATAATAATAATAATAATAATAATAATAATAATGATAATAATAATAATAAAAAAAGTATGAAGAAAGTTTAGTGAAATTTTCTCCATTCTAACCATAGAATTTCCGCGCGACCACTTATATAGTTTAACACTAAAACTTCATGTTGTCTGGCGTCTGAATGAATGGCTACTGCGAAATTTAAGTAACGTCAATTCGAAAGTTTTATCAAAACACGCCTAAGTGTATTTTCGTTTAAAATTTTACTACTACTCAACATAAGATACGTATTATATCATAAAAGCCATTAATAATAGATTTTCATTAGGGTTAAAGGAATTAGCTTACGATCTGGTTGAGCAAAATCATTCAATGGTAAACCATTGGTGTTCCCATATAATGTAAAGTTTTTCTTTCTTTTTTTTCTTTTTTTCTTTTTTTATATAACTTTACGAAAATTGCAGATTCTTAAAAATTATTAAAAATCATCATAAGAATAGTTTGAATTACTATATTATCCGCCAGTAATATTTACGAGGCATTTAGGTACGATAAAATAGATAAGAGTTCAATTTATGGTTTAACCCAAATCGGGGTGAATTGTTCGATATGTTTCACTTGAAAAGAAAAGGGCAATTTAATTTTACTTGACTTGATTTTCCGACAATACATTTGGTCGTAGAAAATTTTGTTAATCACAATGGGCTGTTTTTTATTCTTTCTAACCCCCTCCCCCTCCCCATGCCCCCTCCTAGCCTGCCCCCGGCCGCAATCCCATCCCAAATCGGTCAGTCGCCCCAATCGACCTTCTTCCGACTTCCCGCACCTTAATCGTGAATTACACAAGATAAGGAACGAATAATAAATTCCAACGAGTCAATAATAAATGTGTCAAATATTATTTAAAAATGCATGCATCGATGCCCACGCGCCCATGCCTTCCTCATCCCAAATACATGAACTTAGGGCGTTAATCGCAATTGGAAGCACAAATTACTCTGTCTTTGTTTATGCAAGTACAAAGTCGGACTGTCTCGAGAGCTACAGCAAGTGACGCTTATACATACACACAGTCGCATCGATTACACACGTACGTAGACGAGAGTCATGCTCGCCGGATGCTCTCTTCTCATCTCACTTCTCTAATCACCGAGAGAAGTCAGAAGCGGATAATTCGCGCTCGTTGATTTGGCAGGCCAGACCGACGAATCGACTCAATAAACGCTCGTTTACGAAACTTTGTCCAACGAGTGCAGCTCTAATTTCAATGGTAGCTGTTCCTTAACGAACAATTGCGTGGCTGCAATTGGCGATTTTACCCGCGGAGGTTTCAATTGTGTCATCTAGGCGTCGTCGATTACGCCCCAAGCAAGGCGAGACTGCTTGTTATCGTCCGGCTTGATTAAAATTCCATTGTGCCGAGGCTTACCGCCGCCAAATCCTATTACCATCGCTGAAACATTTTCCCTTGGAAATCACGAGGTCGGTCATTAACGCGCAATGATTAAGCAACGATTTCCTAGAAGCGTGCGTTGACATTTTCCCTCCTATTATGTTATTTTTATGGATCTCGGTCTTGATTCAACGCCGCGTACTTCCATCGGAACCAGCTGACGAAGTCCGAGGACCTCGACTTTCATTTAAATCTTAATTACTTTGTAATTATATATGCTTGAAAAACGATAAACGAAAAACGAAAAACAGAAAAAAAAACTAAAACAAACAAGAAAAAAGCGAGGACGGCTGAAAATATGTTCGCCAAGGTGGAGAGTTGGCAACGTAAAAGAATAAGCTCAGTACTTAAATGAAGTCGTAAAGCAGTCGATATAGCACCACACAATATTGCATGAGGTGCTCGCGCAACCACTAGCTCTCTCTCTCTCTCTCTCTCTCTCTCTCTCTCTCTCTCT